CAGATGAGGAAGCCAGACTCAGGCAAGGCTAGTTGGCACCAGATTCTGCAGCTGGTAGCCAACGGCAGTGCTGTGGCCCTCACCCTCTAACCAGGGTCCAGCTGCCTCCAAGGCAGCACAGAGGGCACTCTGTTTGCTTTGTAAGTTGTTCTGATTTAGCAGGAGCCTTGGGAGCCAAGGACTATCGTAATGACGCTCTAGGTGATGACACTCACTTCTGAGAAAGGAGCTGGAGCCCAGCCCACATGAAGTCTGTTCCAGCTGGTGGGCGCTGAAGAGTGTGCTCAGTCTGATGTTGGAAGGTGGTGACGGAGGAAGAGGAAGGTGGATTGATGGAGGAGGAAGAAGAAGATGGATGGAGGAGGAGTGGTTTTTTACCACCAGGAAGAACTTGAAGTCCCAGTACATATTTGCTAATCATACCCCTAACCATCCCCTGTGGAAAAGGATGACTGTTATCTCTGGAGCATGGATTCATGTCTTTTCCTCACTCAAAGGCTTACCTGGTATAAAAACTCAAGGTGCGGTAGGCACGGTGGCTCACACCTATAATCCCAGCACTTTGGGATGCCGAGATGGGTGGATCACTTGAAGTCAGGAGTTGGAGACCAGCCTGACCAACATGGTGAAACCCTGTCTCTACTAAAAATACAATAATTAGCCAGACATGGTGGCGTGTGACTATATATAGTCCCAGCTACTCAGGAGGCTGAGACAGGAGAACTGCTTGAACCCTGGAGGTGAAGGTTCACGGCACTGTAGCCTGGGCGACACAGTGAGACTCCATCTCAAAAAAAAAAAAAACAAAAAAAAAACATCTCAGGATGCCCTCTCGAGAGCATATCTCGGGGCCATTATTCTCCCCATCCCTCTGTGGGCAGCGACACATGCACCTAGCTATCACCAAATGTCCACCTCTCTTATCCTTGCTGCTCACCCAACACTGTGCAAGCTTCGTTCATTCACTCACCCACACAATGACTGCGCACTGTGGAGTGCGTGCCTTCCAGTTTCCAAATTCTAGAAGAAAGAGCGAAATAAATAAATAGAACAAATCCTTCCCTGCTTAAAGCTTTATCATCTTATTCCTTTGCTGAGAGCTGGCTCTGCACATCCTACTTGTCATTCAGGAGTTCTGAATTTTCATTTTGGGCTTTTTAATTGAATGTTCAGCCTGGCTGTACATGCTGGGTTTTGTAAGCATTTTAATCAATAAATAAATGAGCCCACACCACGGCCACATCCACCATCTGGTGCTGCCAACTGAGCAGAGAGTGAAAGAAAAGCCTTGCTTGTGGATTCTCTTTCTTTATCCCCCTGATTATTTCGAATATTCTGGGCAGAACCGGCTTTTAGGTTCAGCAAATATAGGGCAAAAGAACGGCCTTACAATTCAAGGTTTCCTGTGAGCTCGTGCGAGGAAACTTTAGGAAATGGAAGGAAATGTCACCCCATGATGATGCTTGGCGACTCCCCTCGGAGTGCAGTCCCCGTCCTGGGGCTCAAGGATAAAGCCTGGGGGTACATCATGGGAGGTCTCCCTGCTTCAAAAGGCCCTGGTGGCTGGCAGACTGTCCTAAGGGTGATCTTAAGGATGGCCACTCAAGGATGTGTCAAGGACTCTGACGTGCCAAGCACTCTCTGGAATATGTGGTCACCGCAGTGACCCAAATGGGAAAATATCCCTGCCCCCGCGAGCTTCAAATTCTCATCTGAAATAACAAAATAAAATCTATAAATAAAATCCCAAGAAGGCTAAAGAGTGAGAAGTCCTTTGGAGAAAGCAGCAGGCAGTCCTTGGGGAGGCAGGGTTGCAGTTTTAAGTGGAGTGGTCAGAAAAGGCCCCGCGAGCAGGTGGCATGGAGGCAACACCCAAGGGGGAGCGCAAATGCCCTGGGGGAGCCTGCCCAGTGGCTTGTGGGGAAGGCAGGGCTGGTGTGGCTGGAGCAGGTGACCCAGAGGGCACTGCAGGGACACATCACCAGGGAGGCAGTGGGTGGGGGTTGGTGCAGGCCCACATGGGCCGTGTCATAGCGCCTGGCTTTTTCTCTGACAGTGATGGGAGGCACTGGGGGATTCTGAGCTGAGGACTGGCATGATCTGCCTTCCCTTTCAACAGGATCACTCTGGCCGCTGTTTGACAATAGATGCCAGGACAAGGGCAGAAACAGGACCCTCTGGTGGCAGCTCTGTCATCCTGGGGCGAGACACAGAGGGACCAGACCAGGGGTGGGAGGTTAGATCAGGGATATTTCACAGGGTGAGCTGACGGGGTATGTGAATGGGGGGCAAGGGACCCACAGGAACCAGGGAAGGCCTGGCCAGAGGGAGCACGGAATGGGTGTGCTCCAAGGAGCATTTGACTGACACCCCTTTTAGCTGGTCCTCCCGCAGGGCTGGCAGAGCACAGTTGGCCAAAGTCAAGGTCAGGGTGGGGCTCACCACCTGGAGAAAAGTGACCTAAATCATCCCCCACCCAGCCTGGGCTCAGAAATGGTTTTTCCCTGAGCTGTGGGAGACCCTCCTTCAACGACTCACAGACCATGGGAACTAGGGCAGCCATCGCTCTGCTCTGAGGTACTTCTACCCTGGCAGAAACTGAACCAGGTTCCAGAACTGCATGGACAAGGATGACAGACACAGACGCGCTTCCCTGCCCGCCTGTCTAGCCAGCCACGGAGTTCTCTCTGCTCCTCGGGGACATAGCTGAGATTGTGTCCTGCCTGCTTTCCGTGCCTCTCCTTCTCTTCTCTCCATCTATTTGGTGACTTCTCTACCCCCAGCTACTTCCACCAGCTGGGCCGTCCACCCACCCTTGGCTGCTGCCCCAAAGCCCTGTCCACCTCTGCATCCCCCTGAGAAGCAGGTCTGGGCGAGACAGATCCCCACCTCCAGTGCACAACATCCCACAGGGTACATTCCCACACCGTACCACACACCACTCTCAGCTGGCACCAGCTCAGGCGCAAACCCAAGGCTGCCTGGGGCACTGGTCTGGTTGAGGGGCACTAGTCTGGTGGGCGGGGAGCAGTGACATGACTGTGGGCACTGACCCATGTGGGGAGTATTGGCTTGGGTGGGAGGAACTGGCCCACGTCCGGGGCCCTGTCCTGGTGAGGAGCACTGACCTAGTGGGGACAGCTGACCTAGTTGGGAGCAATGACTGGGTGGGAGGCACTGACTGGATAGGGGACACTGTCCTGGTGGGAGGCACGGACCCAGGAGGGGGGCACTGGCAGAATGGGGGGCATTGGCCCACTGGAAGGCACTGACCAGAGTGGGGGACACTGACCTGGTGGGGTGGGGCTGGCCTGGGTAGAGGGTACTGACCCAGGTTGGTTGGAGGCACTGGCGTGGGTGGAAGGCATTGACTTGGGTTGGGGGCATGGTCTGGTGGGGAGCACTGACCCACACCAGGCACCCCTCTGGCTCTGGAGGAGGTATGCCCGGGGTGGGTACACAGGCCTCTCACAGGCGGCTATGTGGGCTGCTCCCCTGGGGGGCAGAACCCCTCCTCCTTCCCTTCCCCTCTTTGGTGCGTTTTCTCTCAACTGGGCAAACGGTCTCATGAAAGATGGAAGCAGAAGTCAGTCTTCTCTGTTACGTACAGCATTTGTATTAACAGTGATGATGATGATGATGTCAATGAAAAACAGATGACTGAATCGCAGGGTCTTCCTGGGGAACTCGCCCCGTGCAGAGGCCCCGCTCCCTCTGCTGTCCTTCCTGGCTCACTGCCGCCCCCTACCCCCCCGCAGCTTTCTTACTCTCTGCGGAGCTGTATTGGACTTCCCATTCTGATCACCTCCCACCTGGACCAACAGCTGCGGTCTATTTGGCCCCACCAACTATCCAGGGCCAGGCACACAGCAGGTTCTCAGTAAGAGAATGCTACAGGAATGGAGGAAATAGGTAAATCACGAGCTCCTCGGGGTAGGTCCCAAGCCTAGTTAATCCACACTGTAGCCCAATCCACACTCCTGGGTTTAAAACTCAAAATAAGATCTGGCAATGCTATAGCAGTGCTGTCAGGAGGTGAGATGCCTTGGGGCCATTGGCAGCAGCTCTGCTGGTGTGGCCAGTGTCCCCAGCTGACCCTTGCCTGTTCCCACATGCCATGGCAAGTCCTGGGCCACGCGAACCCTCGGCACTCCCCCCACCTCAAAGGGGACTCTGCAGAACCTCTGCTACCCATGACACCTGCCTCCACCTACAGGAGCAAACCATGACACCTGCCTCCACCCACAGGAGCAAAGGCAGCAAGAGCGGATGGTGCAGGGCCCAGCTCACTTACCCTGAGTCCCTGAGAAGCCACAGGTGGGTGTTAAGGAGGGGCAGGAATCGTGCCCTGATGACCTTTAAAAGGTCATTCTGAAGGCCGGGAGCAGAGGCTCACACCTGTAATCCCAGCACTTTGGGAAACTGAGGCGGGTGGATCAGTTGAGATCAGGAGTTTGAGACCAGCCTGACCAACATGGTGAAACCCTGTCCCTACTAGCAATACAAAAAAAAAAAAAAAAAAAAAAAAAAAGCTGGGCGTGGTGGTGCACACCTGTAATCCCAACTACTTGGGAGGCTGAGGCAGGAGAATCACTTGAACCTGGGAGGCAGGGGTTGCAGTGAGCCAAGATCATGCCACTGCACTCCAGCCTGGGCAACAAGAGTGAAACTCCATCTCAAATAATAATAATAATAATAATAAAAGGTCATTCTGTTTAGAGTGGAAACCAGGAGATGGGAGGAGGCTCTGGGCCCTGGGGGATAATGCTGACATGGGCGGGGTTGGGGGCTGTGCACGGATATAGAGAACAGTGAATGGACCCAGCAGCCTCCCAGGGGGCCAACCTGGCTGGGGCAGGAAAGGGATCTTGGGGAGGAAACTTCATTACAGCACCTTCAGAGCCTCCCATCAACCCTTTACCGATGTGTCAGTCTCCAGCCAAGCTACAGTGAAGGGCTGCAGTGTCTCTCACAGTCACGGAGGGAGCAGTGTTGGGACAGGCAGGAGGCTGGGTTCTATCCCCAAGCCCCACCTCTAAGGAGCTCCCACTTACACCTGAGAGAGAGTCCAGCTTCAAGCTACACAGAGATGCCTGTGCAGGGAGCGCCGATTGCAGCCATCCGTAAAGCCAGCCAGAGTCCACCACAGACATGCCCACAAGATCTCACGACCACGGGAGATTCAGGTGAGCCTCCCCAGGTAAACCTCCCCTTCCCTGATCTTCATGTCCCCAAATGCCGGCCTCCCGACACCAACCAGGCAGCAGGCCCCTGTCCTGGGGGGCTGCAGTGATTCTCCAGCGTGCCTGGGCACCTGCAGGTGGCTGCCAGCGTGTGGCTGGGATCACAACCTGGCCTTCTACAGTGAGACTTTCTCTCAATATGAAGCTCCCTTCTTCAAAAGAAGGACAAAGCTGTTAGGGTCCAGCCCTGCTTCCCTTCCCAGCCTCACCTGCCTGGGTCCTCTCCTTGCCCTGCATGCCCCTTGGCTTCCGCCCTGGGTTCTTTAGACTCGGAGGACTTCAGAGCCAGGCGGCCTGGGGTACAGCCTGGCTGGTGCTCACCAGCTGTGTGACTTGGGCAATTGTTTAACCTCTCTGAGCTGTGGTTTCATCTACAAATCGGGGATGACAAGAGCACCTGCTTCCTGGAGCCACTGCAGGCCTGAGCGAGGGAGTGTGTGCAGAGGAGCCCAGGGTGCCTGCATGCCAGCCATGAGCTCGTTCATCACTGGACAGGGGTGGGGAAGGACAGGCACCTGCAGGCCAGGCGTGGAAGACGTTCCGTACCACACCACTTGCGTGCCACTGGGCAAGATACTCTAAGTCTGCATCTTAATTTTCTCATCTGTGACATGGACAACAGTGGTATTTCTCGCAGGGATCCTGAGAATTCATAGGGATGGCTAATCCATGGAATAGCTTGGAAAAGGCCTGGCTGCCATGAGTCCTAATGAACAATGGCTGAAAGAACAACTGGGAAAGTGCTCTTTCCACTGCCACACACTTCCTTCCCTCCCTGCTTCTCTTCTCACTAAGTCTTTCTCACTCATGCAGCGCCTCCTCTGCACCTCAAGGTGCCTGGCTCTGGGGCAGAGGCTTGGCTAAGCCTGGGCTGAGTTGGTGCCTCCTCGCTTGGAACCATCCTCCCACTCGGGTCGTGACTGCCCCGTTCTTGGGTGTGGCCCTAGCCCCCGCTCTGGGGCTGTGTCTGTCTTCCTCCAAGCTGAGCCTGGCCCCGTCACCACATCACGCAGCAGGGTGCTCAAGCTTGTGATGATCAGATGGAAGAATGCAAGGATGGCTCTCACAGAAATTTTTTTTTTTTTTTTTTTTTTTTTTTTGAGATTGAGTCTCCCTCTATCACACAAGCTGGAGTGCAGTGGTGTGATCTTGGCTCACTGCAACCTCCACCTCCTGGGTTCAGGTGATTCTTGTGCCTCAGCCTCCCGAGTAGCTGGGACTATAGGCACCCACAACCATGCCCAGCTAATTTTTGTATTTTTAGTAGAGACGAGGTTTCACCATGTTGACCAAGCTGGTCTCAAGCTCCTGGCCTCAAGCAATCCACCCACCTTGGCCGCCCAAAGTGCTGGAATTACAGGCATGAGCCACCACACCCGGCAAAATGATTCTTTATACCGCCAGGACACTATCTTCAGAGTAGCTCCCCATGCCTTGAGCAAAATCTCCCACCAAGGAGCTGTATGTGACACACAGATTCCTCCTTTGAAACAGTGGAAGAAAGACTTCTGGGCAAAGTAAACTGATCACATGGAGCGGCCCAAGGAGCAATGAGAAACCACAACAGAGCTCCGTCCCACAAGTCAGAAGGAAGAATCCAGGTCACTTTTCAGGCAGAGAAAAGACCATTCCAGGAAGGGATGCAACACAACCAGCTGCCTGGCCAAGCACTGCCCCCCGGATGCTAGACCCCCCACCCAGGGAAGCTCGTGGAGAACATAGAGGAGGGCGCCGGCCGTTGGTAAAGAGTCAGGGCTACTCGGCAACAAGCCTCAGGCTGTTTCACAGGAGGGAAATGTGAGGTAGAGGAGCAAGGCGCCTAGGCTGTGGCTCCCAGCACTCCTGATTCCTGATCTGTAACAAAGCTCTAGCGTTCACCCACAGCTGGGAGAGGGTGTACCCTGTTCACACGGCTTTGAGCAGGTGATTCAGGGAAGGCTGACAGCCAACACGGACGTTGCTAGGACAGGACACTCACTTTCTGATATAACTCATCCCCGCTTTGAGAGGGCCCTGCCCAAAGACAAATGAAGGAGTCAGAAACTTGACTTACTTTCAGGAAGTGGCTTCTCAGGTTGGTGTGGGCTTCGCACCCTTTGTTTTCTAGTGGTCAGTGCACGCAGGGGACAGAGGATGACTGCCTGACACGGGGGCGGACCCACCACTGGCAGTGGAAAGAGAAGGGGGCAGGATACGGCAGGCAGCCCGGTTACCTTTGGGGTAGCCTGGGCCATCAGGGGCTCAGGGTCCAGATCAGTCCAGACAAGAGAACAGGCAGCCCCCTTTCTCAGATTTTGCTGGCCTGTGATGACGCACAAATGGATACTTCTATGTCCTACAAGTTGTAACCCAAACCCCACGGGAAGGAGGAGACCCCCGGTTAGCTGTGTGGCCCTGCTTGTTTGCAGTGCAGTGCTGGGTATTTTTAGCAGAAGGCTTTCCCTCCACTGTTCCTGTGTCCTCCCTCCTGCGGTTGCCCTAAGACAGGTGAGTCTGTCTGCAGGGCCCCACAGGGCACCATCCGAGACCCAGGGCACTGCCTGTGGAGCTCTGCCCCGGCGTCCCATTCCTCCTAGTGTGTCCCCTGCAGTGTCATGATGAGACAGTCCTTTCTGCTTGTGCAGGGACCCTCCCTGAACTGCAGACGACAGCTGCCACTTAAATGTCAAATTGGGGTGTGGTGCCTCACACCTGTAATCCCAGAACTTTGGGAGGCTGAAATGGGTGGATCACCTGAGGTTAGGAGTTTGAGACAAGTCTGACCAACATGGTGAAACCCTGTCTCTACTAAAAATACAAAATTAGCCGGGCATGGTGGCGCATGCCTGTAATCTCAGCTACTGGGGAGGCTGAGGCAAGAGAATCGCTTTAACCTGGGAGGCAGAGGTTGCAGTGAGCCAAGATCATGCCACTGCACTCCAGCCTGGGCAACAAGAGTGAAACTCCATCTCAATAAAAAATGAATAAATAAATGTCAAATTGCTGTTACATGGACCAGGCAGGTTCGTGCTCCTCTCAGCACCATCCCGACAAGACGCTTTTCCAGGAAGAGTCTATAGATAGAAAACTGGCAAAAGAGGAAAGAAAAATGCCCAAAATAGAAATCAGGGAATGCAATGTGAAACTAGGGGATGACGTCATTTAAAGTAGAGAAAAACTGGAACAAGCTAAACATCGGATAGGTGAACAGTTACAGAAATTATGGGAAATATGTGCAATGATTTCTTCCACAGCTATGAAATATGCTATTTTGAGAACATTTTAGTGTAGTAAAAATATTCCAATTAAATATAGCATTAAGTGAAAAGACCAGGATACAAAACTTCATGTTTACATGATCCCAGTCATGTTTGGAAAACAAACACATATGTGGAACCCCAATACACCAACAAGGGGACTCTCTGGCTTCTGAAAAGGGCAAGTCTTCTTTCCTGTTTAAAAATATTATGTTTATACATTTATACGTTACAATTTTTCTGTAGAGAACATAAATGATGCTTTTAATTAGAAGGAAACATTTAAAAATACATATTGGGGCCAGGCGTGGTAGCTCACGCCTATAATCCCAGCACTTTGGGAGGCTGAGGCAGGCAGATCACAAAGTCTGGAGATGGAGACCATCCTGGCCAACACGGTGAAACCCCGTCTCTACTAAAAATATAAAAAATTAGCCAGGTGTGGTGGCGGGCACCTGTAGTCCCAGCTACTCGAGAGGCTGAGGCAGGAGAATGGCGTGAACCCGGGAGGCGGAGCTTGCAGTGAGCCGAGATTGTGCCACTGCACTCCAGCCTGGCAACAGAGTGAGACTCCGTCTCAAAAAAAAAAAAAAAAAAGTGTATATATATAATCTTTCACTGAGGAGGCATGAAATATGGCTCAGTTTGGAGCTGTTCCCTGACAGAGCTGAGACACAACAGTCACCTGAAACTGGAGACCTTACTAAGTTCAGGTTCCCCACTTTGAAACCTGCGAATAAGCCCGGCCTGGGAGACAACGAGGAGCAAAGAGGAGCAATTTAAGGCCAGAGGACCTCACATCCCACTGGAACAATATCCAGTCTTCCAAAATTCCTCCACACATTTCCCCACCACGAGGGGCTGCCTGGGCTCAGCAGATCACAGGGACAGTAGCAGGAGCTTCTTCCAAGGGCATCACCGGGTACAGACATGGCGTGTGCATCTCACAAGCGCCTCTCCACAGCACGTGCCCGAAGGCCCCTGGCCCCGAGCCCGGTCCTCCCGGCCCTACCATCTGACTCCTGCACGGCAGCCAGGCGAGACTGCAGGAACTGAGACACATAATCCCCACTCACTTTTTGGGCAGATGGGCCTGGTCCAACCAAAAGCAATAGAGGCAGCTGCATCTAGAACACTGAAGCGCAAACAACCTCCCTCCCCTTCAAGCATAACGCAAAAAAAAAAAAAAAAAAAAGAGATTACTCTGTTTCTTTTTCTCCCAACAGCCTTCTGTTGTTGCTTTCTGGCATTTCTCCATAATATCCTGACAGCATTTTCAAAGGAATCATGTGAGATGGTGCCCTCCCACTCTCCCCACGTTCGTGAGACAAGTGCCCCAAATCAGGGTCCATTTGAGCTGTTCAGTGACTGGTTCTGGACACCTCTGGGGTCAAGGAAGCTATGGGATTATTTGTCGTGATAGGCATTACCCCAGCACATGAGAATGTATGACTCAGTGCTGCTCCAAGCAGTCAGCTCATCATTTAATGTGCACCTACTATGCACACCCGGCATATTGCCGGGCACCCCAGGAAAACAGTAAAAAGTAGCTATTCTCAACGAATTTACCATCTGGCAAAACAGGAAGAGAATATATACATGAAGAATAAAATCGTATTTAAGCCTTAAATTAGGGATGGAAAAGATGTTTCAGGCAGTTGTTAGAAGCCATCAAGAGTACTGTGTTGTAAAGAATCTGAAACAGACCTAAGCCCAGGAAAGGTATGTGTGCAACAGCAGTGCCTCCCTTGAGTGCAGCTGGGCAGGTGCAGCGGTCAGGTCTGGGTCTGCATCCTTGCTCTGGAAGACCATGGATACAACAGGGAGGGAGGGCATTCAGGTTGGAGGAATCCAGAGGCTTCAAGGAACACTTAGGACTTGCACTGATCTAAAAGATGACAGGCATTGGGTGCGCCAAAGGATAGTCAGAGGACATAGTGTATCTAGGCATGATATGTGTAGGAGACAGTGAGGAAAATAGAAGTTGGGTGCTATAGAATACGAACATGAGGATTCCAGGTAATGAAATCTAGTGCATGCATATATGTGTGTGTTCGTGTGTGGCAGGTTGGAGGGACTCTGACTATGTATGGTACAGTCCCTGATCACACTAATTTCTCTCATCACTCATTTACTGTAATAGGTATGTACTGTGTGCCTGGGAGCAATGTGTTATACTACTGGAATGAGAAGTTCTCACTTCATTCTCCTTGTCTGTCTTTATTGACAAACAGATGGAATGATGTGATGTGTCTGAAGATGTGAAGGAGCCACCCAGACCTAAGCCACCTGGACAAAGAAGGGATCTGGCTCATCCAGGACCATGCAACTTGGGCCATCTATATCTGTGGTAATCAAAGTGTGGTCCCTGGACCAGCAGCACTGGCAGCACAAGAGAGTTTCCTTAGTTAGTCCTGAATTCCAGGCATCCCCCTGTACCCATAGAATCAGAATCTGCATTTTAACAAGGTCCCCCCAGTGGTCTGTTTGAAACTTAAAGATTAGAAGCCTTGAGCTACTCCAAGAGCCCTATAGGCTTTGGATTTAAGAACTAGAAGCAGAGCTGGAAGGAACCTCAGCAATCCTCTGGTTCAAGCCCATGATGCGATACACAATATGAGGAAACCAAGATCTGAGAAAGCTAGCTGATTTCCCAATTTCCCCAGTTTTTAAGATTTCACCCAGTTTCCGGCCAAAAAAAAAAAAAGTGTATTTTCATGACCACACATCTTCCCTCAGCACGCATTCCTGAAGTCATATCATGTTTCATCTTCCATGCTATGAAGTGCAGCCTCCCAACACCAGAGAGCCGTGGAACAGGATGAAAACCAACATAGCTTTCCACGTGATGTCTCAAAACCAAAAGCAGAGATATCTAAGTGCAAAGTAAGACATCCCAGCGCTACACCATGGTCCCCATAATTACTGAGATCCTTACACAGATTTCCATCACACATAATGTCTGACCAAGAGTGCACAGCTGTTCAGTGACTGGTTCTGGACACCTCTGGGGTCAAGGAAGCTATGGGATTATTTGTTGTGATAGGCATTACCCCAGCACATGAGAATGTATGACTCAGTGCTGCTCCAGGCAGTCAGCTCATCATTTAATGTGCACCTACTGTGCACCCGGCAGCACCACCCAGATCATTTCTTGCCAATCTGTGACATGTAGCATCAAGAAATCCAAGCTCATGTTCCAACAACAGGTTGTCTACAGAAGAGTACCTAAAACTCTGATGCAAGGAATTATCTGAAATGGTTGTTTCTAAGATTCCTTTGTATGGGAGCATGGGAGGTGAAATCCTGTTCCCGTTGGAAATAAAAAACAAGAAGGCTCACCCCAGCCAGTGGGTGATAATGTGGCATTCATTACACCGTGTGCACATAGAGCGTGCAGTCCAAGTCATATGACAGCAGAGAAAGGGGCCTTTTTCTGTAGAGAGAGAGAGGGGGGATGGAGGAGGAGATAGTTAATAATTTTCTTTTCATATGACAGCTTGGAAAATCCCAGTTCAGCTTTATAACGCCAGCTCCTCAGTTATAATTTAACACCTATTCCAAGAACAGTTGACAAACGAATGTTAGTGAGCAACACAATGCCATTTTCATTTGCCAGCCAGAATGATTTTTTTATGTCCTTGATAAGCCCACAAATAAATTTGTCAATTTATTCATAGCTATGGGTTGGAGTCAAGATGCAATCTCTCATGCTCTGCAGACACTGGTACCGCTTTCTTTACGGAACGCCCATCTGTTTTTCTACCACATGGGCATAAAGATTTCCAGAAGCTACTAAATAAGAAAGTGATTTGAGTCCTCCTGTAGTAGCTTTCTAGCCATCTGCTGTCCCAGCCATGTGTCCTCCACCATGACAACTTTCACCCATGTTCCAAAGGCGGGGGTCAGGTATAGCAATCTCCCAGGCTCCTGGCAAGGAGAAAAAAACGTAATGGAGTGAAAAGAAGTCAGTCTCCTTGGGTGACGATGCCTTGCCTTGCAAAAATCCCAGTGTGCTGTCAGGAAACAGAACAATCCTCAACAGAAAGGGAATGGAGGTGACTCCAGACCGACATGACAAAAATTCTGTTTTGGGAGGTCACCTGGGGTGCCTCTATTTTGGGAGGAAATAATTTCCTTAATGACATCTCTGCGGGCTCTCATACTTTCTGGCTTTATCCGGTTTTAAAGCTGGCATATTCACATTCAAATGCCTCCTTTGTGAACTGGTCTTTAGATTAGAATACCTCTGAGTGTTCCTGTTCCCTAATACATTAAAAACTATGGGCAACTCCCCGGACTCCATGCCTGCAATAACTCTGAAAGGAGTTATGCAAAAGCAATTACAGTTAATGACAGTCATCCTGATTTTTAACTTTCTTTGTTCATGAGGCCCAGGGATTTGGATCCTTGCACCTATTCTGAATGACTGCAAGCACAATGCATCTAGGTTTCTGAGTTCTTCTTGGAAACCAAGGTTCACAGCATTTTCCTGGTAGCCTCATCTTTTGGGCAAACAAGACAACTTCAGGGCATGAGACTGGTGTGACTATATTAAGGCCAGTGATGTGACAATGGGACAGCTCAACCATGCTGGTGGCAGTCATGCCAGGGCTCAATCTGCCTTTCAAATAAGAACTTGAACCTTTCTCTGGCTTGCTGATTTGAACAGGCAGGTCCTGGATGTAGAGAGGTGGCACACTTAATCCGGTCACTAAGGGTAGGAGTTAGCAAAAGAAAAACGATGGGACTATGAGTGAGATTAAGAAATTGCACACAGGAGAGTGAAGCACCCTACAACTGGCAACAGGGCGCAGCTTTAATATCTGAGGCCTGAAAGGGAAGGGCCTCAGATGGGAAGGGCCTGCAGAGGCTACAGAGAAAAGCTCTGTGCAGAGGGCCTCTGATGGGAGGATCTGAGGCCTCTGATAGGACCCGAGGGAGGGCCCAGAAGGGGAACACCCTGATCTCACAGTTCCCCTCTTGCCTCGCATTGGACAAAACCAACCACCTGCGCCTGAGTATATGGTGGAGATGGTGCAGCCCGCAGCACGAACAGGGTCAAGGGGGAGGGTGACTCTGCAGGGTGCATGGAAGTCACCTGAGCATGGTGTCCCAACCTGGTGCTCTCAGAAGACAGGTATCTCTCTTAGGTCTCTTGGGCAGCCTGGAGATAACCTAAAGCACCTCCAGAAAAGATTTTTTATGTCTCTGTAAGCCCACAAATAAACATGTCAATTTATTTACAGCTGTGGTTCGGAGTCAAGATGCAGTTTCTCACGGTCTGCGGACAGTGGTATCACCTCTCCACCAGGGCGTCGGGAATCCAGGGTGACTGTGATCACGAACCACCACACAGGAGAGACCAAGGGGCCATTCGCTGGACGCAAGCAGGAAAAAGTCCCTTGGAATAATTTAAAATGCAAATTTTAGATCAAAATTCTGTGGCATGTAATCACCGGGTCTTTTTTATCTCTGGACAACCCCCCATGAGGCCAATACCATGGCTGTCATCTGCATGTCACAGATGAGATCACAGAAACACGGAGAGCAAGCATGGATGCAAAATCAGGAGGCTGCTGAGCAGCGCAGAGCTGAGCACGGGGACAGTTGCACGTCCCATTTCAGTGCTGCCAGTCTGTGGAAGATGGCGGAACCACCTGGGCAGGGTCCACAAATGCTCACTGTCTTTTCAGATGCAGACTCACAGCACTGACCGCTACCTCTGGGGATGGACCAGCTGAGTAATTTGGAGTTGGAGAAGTTTGGATTTGGGAAAGGTAGAATGGCTATGGGCCCTGTGAGATGTCACTCCTCCCAGGATGTATGGGGCAGCGTCTGCTCTGCACCGCGTCTCTGCAGGGAAACCCAACCCTCCCAAAGGCACTGGGGCTCCTGGTAGCTCAAAGCAGGTTTTGCTATCAGATGAGCTGTGCCAAACGGGGGGAAAAGATTCTTGCTTCAGAGCTCCTGGGATTTAGAATCATGGGCGTGGAAGCTCCCCTCACCATGTGCCAATCCAGAATGGGCCTTGGTCACAGCAATGGGCCAGCCATCAGCTCAGCATGGTGCCTTGATGGCCTGTTGGGGGCTGAGCTGAGAGTCCAGGCCCACCTGGAGCAAACCCCTGACTCTGGGGTTTTAGTGACTTGGTCTTCTGCACCCAGGTGATAAGCATAGATGGCCTTGTGCGGGACTGTGGTGCAGCTGAGAGAACACGTGCTGAGTGACCACAGGACCTGAGCCCTGCACTCTTTGCCCCTCTGGGCCTCCAGGTTCCTGCTTGCCTTCGAATTGCAACCAAGGGCCCCCTGGAGTGACCACTGCATGGGCAGCACGCCTTCATGTTTCTTACAGGAGGGTCAAACACATCCCTCGACCACACTTTTCCATCATCACAAGGAAATCTGCGGACGGCAGAGCATCACCTCCCTCAGAGAAACACAGAATGCTGCCTATCCCTTTGCCAGGCCCTTACTTAAAGAACTGGAAGTGAAATGAAATCCTTGAATAAAGTGACTTGGAAAACCCACAGGTACAAAGCACCAGGACCCTGTAGGGTCCAAGCACCTTCCTACTGCCATGTAACGACAGGCGCCTGAATGGCCACCTCTCCATGTCAGAAATACTATTTGATACTAAGCAGGAGATCAGGCTTCCACCAGCCCCTGATGTGTAATGGCTTATCCTAGGCAAACTGTCCTGCAGGCCATGGACCCTCAGAACCCAGGGCAGCAAAGAGGAAAACTGGGTGAGTGGACAAAAATCTGAATGCAGTAGAAGGAGGCACTCTGGGGGCACGGGGGGAAGGAAGCGGTCAGGCTTGGCGCCACGCAGAGGCAGTGAAGCCAACAAGGCCAGGACTGGAAGGAGGATGCTCTCCAAGGCGCAGACTCACACCCTGCCGGGTCCGGATCCAGGCTCCACAAGGCGTCAGCTTGCTCACACTGGACCAGGCTTATGGACAGATGCAAAAGCAAGCTTTCATGAGCCCCAAGTGAACCTTTTCCCCACAGGACTCTCAGAGAGGACTGACACAGATGATAGATTAGGCTCCCCTCAGAGCGCACACACACTCCGTGGCTTGACCGTGGCCAGAACAGGATGCACCCCCCCAGCCTCTGGGCTCCCACCGCGAGGCAAGCGATTGCCCTGCAGTCCAAGTGCCCCAGCATGCACTGTTAATATATGATTACCATGTCCAGACACGCTAACAAAAAAGCACTGCACAGCAGGCACACTGCACTGGAGAATCAGCGGTTTGCGCCTCAAGTCTAATTAAGACAAAAGTTTTAGTGCGTTGGCTGTGGAAAGGCATGCTAATGATTCACAAGCTGGCTTAACCCCGCCATGAACACCTGTATTTCAGCAGCTTCCCAGGAGGTGATGGGGTGATGTGGAAAGGGGAACCTGTCCTTCCCTTCACACTGAGTGGATCTGCAAGCACAGGGCAGGGCAACTCAGTCTCCAAAACCAACAGGGCCAGTGCCAGGCTCAATTTGTTCTTTCTTTAAAGTAGCTTCCATAGAAAGCGTCACTGTCACCCCTACTCCAGACCCTGGGCTCTTTCCAAACCGGGTGAAGGGGTGACAGCTGCCTGGGACTCTTCCAGGACAGGGCTGTGTGGCCGGCCATGGAGCAGAGGCCCCGTGGCACAGTGCACAGACAGCGTCCTCCCAGAGGCAGCTGTTCCCCACACTGACTTCAATTCTGATGGCACAAGGCCAGAATGTCTTTCATTAGTTCCCCAAACTCTGTCATCAGGGAAGCAGACGAGCCCAGTGTGGATTTTTTAAAGTCAGCACATTCAAAAGCATCACCCGACATGAGGCCACACATCCTAAAACACACACACTCCACACACATGTGCTTAGCCATGCAGGGACTTCACCCTCAGAGGTGTGCCCAGAAGATGATCTGCCTGGCCTAGACTGGGAAGGGTCTCAAAAAAATCACCAAAGCCTCAAAAACATGGTTTCCCATGACATTGGCAGTGGCCTCCCACTCATTTCTAGATGCCACTCTATGCCCTTCGTCCAGCCAAAACCACCCTGTGACTGCTCCTCACATCACTCAAACACAGGATTTCCTGCAGCAGATGTGACTCCAGTGGCTTCCAAGGCTGGATGAGAGGAGAGTGATGGGAGCGGTATGTCCCCTTCCTCATGCCCACCTCCCGGTCCACACGCCCTAGACCAGCCGCCTTCGAGAATAAGGTCCTGTCCCACAATCCCCAAATTCCACTGATTTCATCTCCTGCAGCTTCTCTTATAATTTTGGTTGCTATCAGTCCCTGAATGCTTTAAGAATAAAAATGCCTTTCAGTAATACTCATGGCTACTAATATAAGGACGATGTTCAAGGAAACTAACACCCACCAAAATGACAAGATCACCAAAAAGAAATCCCTGAGGGGCACACCACACGTGAGAAAACTGCAGGCCCCAACCCCCTTCCCCTGGGGCCGCCCCTCGGTAAGACCCTGGGCTCAGCGCCTGAGGGATCGTGTTCTTTCAAGGTCCTTCATTACAGTGGATCTGGGAAGGCCCAGGGAGCAGGACAAGGGAGGTGACAGCAAGTAAGAAGGCAGCCCAATGCCACCCTCCCCCGCTGGCTTTCCTACCCAGGGAAAGTTCTCCTGGAAAAGCACCCACAGGCAGAGGTGTGGGGACAGGAGGGAGCCGGAAACACGGCCTCCCCAGGTGAGATGGAAACGGGGGTTATTTGACAAGCGCTTCACCAGCTGATGCACACAGAATGCTCGCTCCCCAGCGCCCCCGGTGGCTTAGCAGCAAGGCTGGCTGATCCTCCCAAGGAGCGGAGAGAACAAACACAAGCTTAGGAGCCAGGCATGGCCAAGTTCAAGTCCCAAATCCACCACGTAGCACCTCTGTGGCTCAGGCCAGCCATTTAGCATCCCCACTTCTCAAATTTCCTGACCACAAAAGGGGGCAACTGTCCCCTGCTTCCAGGTCCCCACGCACACTGGATCACAGTGCAGCACAGCTCCCTGCAGCGCACTCCCTCAGCCCCAGCTTTTAGGAAGGGCGGAAGTGTGCCCCCATCCTCCTCACCAGGGTTCTGCCTCAGCTCTGGATGGCCCACCCCTCCCCTACTCTCTTCTGGAGACCTCTGTGGACAACACCAGGGGTCTCTGGTTACCAGCATTTCTGAGTGCTCCTCCACAGGGGAGCAAAGCTCCACTCCCTCTGTGAACTCAATGCTGGCCACCAGAACACTCCATTTCAACGCACTGAGGTGAGGCCTGGCGGAGACTGGCAATGGGGCGGCAAGGAAGGAGCAGGGGAGCAGGTGTCCAGCAGGCCCACAAGCAGGGAGTGGGAACAGAGGCCTTCAGTAGAAGGAAGGCTGTGGCCACGGCCCAAGCACCCAGGCATGGAGACCGCCAGGCTGGGCCCTGGCGGCAGCGAACAGAGGCATGCTCCAGGCACGTTTGGGACTGTCACAGCCATTTCTGGGCTGTACCCTGGGCATTTTTATTATCTTTCAGGACTTACCATCTGCCATCATCACCGCTGCAGCCCACGACTCTGGCCCTGGCCAAGCCCGGACTTACCTTCTGTCTGCATACACAGTTCATGCAGTCCTCGTCCACCCACGCCAAGCAGTCACCCGTTCCTCCACGTGAGGGAGGAGGACCCCGGGAGACTAATGAGCCAGCCCCAATGCCACCATTGCTACACTGAGTTTCTCCTCCTCACTGTCACCTGAGTCCACAGGGGCCACCAGACTCCCCAGCCATGGCTCCTCTCCTCACAGGAGGACCATTACCCCTCTGCCTCCTCCTGCCTGCCAGCCCTGGAGGATGCAGACACGGTTCTACCTCCTGGTGAGCTCTTCCGCGGCTTTCTCCTTTGGCCGTTCCGAGGACTAAACTATGAAACAAAGACACAAAGCTGGGAAGTATAAGAAGATGACCAGCCAGACCCACTTTAAGTGAAGTACTCCAAGCAAATGAAGGTGCCCAGACGTCTCCCACCATGGAGGCGAGAGGTGGAGTGCGTGCAGTGGCTCCCTGCACCGTTCTCCTGGCCAGTGTCCCCAGGCCCTGCAGCCAGCTGAGGCCCAGGGCAGTACCACCCCTCCCCTGTCCTCCCACCGCAGGGCAGGCCAGCATCTCGGTGACCCTCGGGACTTCCTGCCATGCTCATGACTTGGCAGGTGGCAGAGCAGGACCGGAAGATTCCTAGAGCTCTCCTACGTACTTCACACCCATGTTTTGGTATCTCAGCAAAACCGGAGTCCACTTTTTCCCTGGGGTACATTCTTTTGGTTAAGAAAATGCAGACAACTTGCACCAATTATGAACATGTTAGACTAAATAATCAATCTAATCTACACCCATTTGTCAAAGCCAATATCTCCCTACATTAATGTGTAAAGGAAAGATGCAGGTTTAACCCCAATAAACACTCATGGCAATAAGATAAAAAGAAAAATAGCTGCTATTCATCACCAATCAGAAACTGCTCCTTAGGAAGGAAGCAAGCCCACCTTCCCTGAGCCAGAATGCAACTAGAGACAGGCTCCGCCATGCAGCCCCCACTCATTTCCCACCAGCATCCCCTCTGACACCAAGCAGAGATGTAGCATCTTGAACCTGCGCCCTGAAGCATCCCGAAGGCCTGGCCCAGGGCTCGGCCATGGGGCTCCTAGTCCACAAACCACAGAGCCAGGCAGGCCTTTCAGCCCTGCCACGTGGCCATCTCTACATTCTGCCTCCCTCCCAGTGGGAACCGTCAGCTCTAGACCCCGGGGGTCTGTGTGCTCCCCAGCACCCTCCCGTGGTCAGTGTGCCCCCTACAGTCAGTGTGCCCATTGGCACAGAACTTCTGCACAGGCTTGCTCTTGCTCTCTGGGCCGGCACTCACTCCACCATCATGGAAATCAGAGACGGACTCTTCTGATTTCCTCTACCCTGAATCTAAAGAGCTGTGGGAAATTCGGAAGCTGCTCACTCTAAACGCTTACACTCAAATTAAGTAAAGCACTTTCCCAGCCAGCAGACCTGGAGCTTGATCTCAGAGGCTCCCGTCTTTAACTCCCCCACAATGAATCACCCTCCCTCATCCCCTTGCATGCTCTGCTGAGGCCCAGCAGGTAAAAGGCACCCCCAGAGTCAGAAGCAGAAGAGCTACCTCCAGTCTAAGTGCTGTACGTGTGCTGGATGCAGGACACCAGAGGGACGTCCTGTTCTGAGACTGTCACATCAGGAGAGCTAGTCCTTCCCTCTCCTCACTTTCCAAGTCCCAGGGTAGAATTCCTGATGGAGAATGGAGGGGGCCAGGGCAAGGAAAAGGCAAGAGGGGTCTGAGGGTGCTCCACCCCAACAAAATTCACAACCTGTTGTCAGGTGTGTTCATGCCCCAAAGTGTGCCCTCCAGCAGCCCAGGCAGCAGCCCAGGGCAGAAGCTGGGGTTGCAGGAGGAACAGGGAGAACCATGACTCACTGCATTGTGCAGGTGGCACTCCATTTCCTATGGCATAGGTGACAACTGTGCCCATTCCTGTCTCTTAGGGTGTGCAGTAAGTAACCAGTCCTCTCTCTAGCCCTGTCATGGCATACAAGGACGGCTCTGGGGACAGCACGGCTCAGTTGTCAGGAGTCTGAGGCTTTGAGGTCTGCAGATTTGTGTGTGTTCTACATCACCATTGCCACCTGGGGAACCCGATGCAAGTTCCTAGCACAGAGCTTTAGTTTCCACACTTGCAGTGAGGATAATGCACCCACTTCTACAGGCTTATTAGACACGGTATGCAATAATGCGCAATGGACATAAAACAGCTGACCACTGTTATCCAACAGGTGCTCGATACATGGAGAGAGAAATGAAATGAACCCTGCAGCACCCTCGAGGCTCACGCTCACGGCCCTCATCGGGTGAGCGCAATTTCCAACTTCTCCAGATTCTCACTGCTGGGTGCTACGATGCAGGAGGGTTGTTTACATCACCTGAATGGTCTCAAAATAATCTTTTGATGAGCAGAGCTATCAGTGTAGATTGCTTTTAGCTTAGAGACTCCTTACGCAGGGTTTTTAAGGATTGGGAGACTGAAGCCCCCTATTTCGATGACTGCTAGGACTGGATTGGACCATGGCTGCAGTGGAGCCCCAGTCTGGTAGACCAGCACCCGGGAACAGGAAGAGATTCGCCACTGCTCCCCTTCCTATTGCTGAGCATCCACCAGACTGGGCCCCCATCAGCCTGCCCAACCAAGAGCGTACTCAGGTGGGGTGCTGCTGTCCAGAGCCCCCCAGAGCCCACTGTCACTGGCTGGCTGTGGGGCCCCCTCTCTGGGCCTCAGTTTCCTTGCATGTAAAATGAGGAGATTAAACCAAGGGGCCTCTGTGTTTCCTTCCAGTGCCAACACGCTAGGTCCTGCTGCTGCTTCTCCACAGCCAGGTATTCTGTGTGCCACAGGCACGCACGAGTGCAGACCACTGAAATTAATTATAGATGTCAACTCTTTATGATTCTGATAGCATTGCAGCAAGAAAGGAGGAGTCCCCAAAAAACACGCAGAAAAAAGAACTCTGTTGTTTCTGGGATAGAAAAAAGATAAGAGGGGAGCCTGGCTGGCATTCTGAAGTCCCGAATCTTCTCTATTCCCACCCTGGGGCAGTGCAGCCTAAGATAAACCATGGCCCAGGGGGTGTGTTTTGGGGGCCCTCTCACCCCTCACCCTCCACCTCTTACCGCCCCCCCATTACCTCCCAACTCTCATCCCTTGTCTTCCCTCACCCCCCAGGGGCCCGCACCCTAAGTCTTGCTACAGGGCAGGCACCACCAGCACCCCACACGCCTGATAGATCCTCCCGGACCTCTTCTTGCCCGGCCTGGCTCTGTCAGCAAGGTCAGCGTCTGTGACAGTTTCGCGTCACTGCTCCCAAGGGTACTGAATTTCAAAAGAAACGCAAGCTGACAAGAGCTGCAAAAGCAGGAAATTCCAGCGACAGAATTCCAAAAGGAAACAGTGATGAGAGCATTTCTGGGAAAAGGTGAAGGGGTGGGGAAGGAAGGTATCCCGTTTCCTTGAAATCCCATCCACTAGGCAACCACAAGTGCTCCTCGTTCCAGCTTGACCTGCAGGACATGGGTGATGGAGGAGGCAGTGGCGACTTTCCCAGTTAAAGCCTGAGTTCACATTAGCAGCACAGCAGCATTAAAGAGAGGTGGAGGAAGACCCCGTAGACAGGAGGAGATCAAGGGACAGTCACTCCAGCAGGTTGATGCAACTTCCATGTAAGAACCTACCACTACCGATTTAGCCTAATTGTCAGTGTGCTTGAATCTTCACTAGCCCTCCA